ACCGATCAGTATCCTAGACTAACAACGACCACGCGGTTCATCGTCTACGGAGTATATCCCATCTCCGCGTCGATGCTCGTATATGCGGGTGGGTACATAGCCGGGCAAGCTCTCGACTGCCGTTATGCGCACCTTAACGGTCATCGTTCCCAAACGCTGTATTGGTCGACCATTGGAATTGTTTTTTGTGGTCGGCCCACTTTTGTCAAGCCCTGGCGGATGTCTTACGCCCCCATGCTCCTCTCCCATTTAACAGGTTTGGTACTTCAAAAGCCACCATGCACAAATGGTAGGCATCCCTTCATTCGAAAAGCCGTTGTTCAACTGTCTCGAACTTTGACAACGTTCCACGCACCACACAACCTAACGAATCATCTTCATCATGCCTGGTGGCATAAACCCCCCCATCGAGGTCAAACTGAGTTGGCCAACACCAAACTATGTCAACCCTACACTTCGACCAAACGCCGTCCTGTGGATTGCGTGTGTACTTGGACCTATTACCGTCGTTATGACTCTTGTACGGTTATGGGTCAGAATCTTTCATCAACGATGTCCCGGCTGGGACGACTGGTTGATGTTAGCTGCCCTTGTGAGTTATCAGTGATCACTCATTATGGCTACGCTAACAATCCTAGCCTCCAGTTATCGCCTTGACAGTCATATATCCCCTAGGTAGGATCTCAAACCGGTCCATTGCTATCTAGCTAATGCTTCTCAGCAACCAACCAAGCATTCGACCGACATATTTGGGACCTAAACTACCTCTTCGAACCGGAAATCATCGTTAACGCACGGAAATACGTACTCGCAACCGAATGTGTCTTCTGTGTTGCAACTGGCCTCGTCAAAGTTTCCATTCTTCTCTTCTACCGACGCCTCTCGGCCCGCGCCGTGTCGAAGACATTCGTATGGGTGACTTGGGCCACTATCGGCTTCATCATCGCCTACACCATTGCCTTGACCTTGGCACCTATCTTGGGCTGCCAACCCATCTCAGCATTCTGGGATCAAGTAAACATCATCAAAAAGTTACAAGGTTACGAGTTCCACTGCTTCGACGAAGGTGCCGACGTCTTCGCTGCCAGCATCATATCCTGCGCCCAAGACGCCCTGACTGCCGTTCTTCCTACGTTCCTTTACTGGAATCTTCAGATACCGATCCGACAAAAGCTGGCGTTGTTCGGTATCTTTGCCATGGGTTACGGTGTCGTCGCACTGGGAGCTGTGCGAGCCTACTACAGCTGGTACACCTTCTATGGCACTTACGACGTGACATGGCACACATGGAATCTGTTTCTTACTTGCATGCTCGAGCTGTACATCGGATGCTTATGCGCCAATGCGCCCGCCATGAAGGTCTTCTTCAAACATTTCTTCCAGGAAAAGCTCAGTCAGCGATCCAAGACAAGAACACCAGCTGGTACCGATGATCGCCAGGATAGTGCGCACACCAAGTCGAAGAACTCGTGGAGGAAGTTCGGTGCGAGCATTACAGGCGGAAGCTGGGCCAACAGCACCAAGGGATATTACGATTCTCACCTTGGTACCACTGTCGACCCGCATGGAGGTGTGCATGTGCACAAAGAGGTGCAAGTGACCATGTCGCCAACCAGCTCGGCGATGCCGACACCCACTGGCATTGACCGCCCTGTGTCAACTATGACAGCCGACATGATCTGCGACCGCGATTACGAGGACATCGAGCTTGGTCGTTACACCACAGGCCACAACTCGCGAGCATCCAGCATGCGATCGACTCATCTCTTCGAAGGGCACGACTTGGAGGCACTCCCTCCACTACCCATGTCACCTGCATCGCCAACGTCGCCAGCAAGCGTTGCTCCTCTGGCATCGCACCCTCTCTCGCCCACAGAGAAGAGGCTACCCATAACTCCCCTGCCCGGTACGGCGATAAGCCAAGAATCCAGGAGGGAAAGAAGTCCCACTCCCATGCCACCACCGCCAACCGCGCGGGAGTCGCCATACCCCCCACGCGGTTCAAGTCAGAAAAAGCCAAGTTGGCAGTCGTGGTCTTGAAGCGTGCCGCGCATGCTAATGCTCAGACCGTTATGTCGACCTATACCCACGCACGATATGAAGCATCGCGTAGATCGCGCAAAAATTTCCTCGTCTTTCCTTGTACTTGCAGCGTCGCTGTAATGTCGCTTTATGATACCATTTCCGCCCTCTGGCGCTACTATAGAAGCATTTTTCAAATGCATCAATATATTCATATCTTAAAAAAGCTTCGTGTACACTCCTGTCATCATTCTCGACTAACAATTAAGGTGTTGTGACGCTCGCTTCTACCCATGTTGGTGACCTTGCGGATGCGGCTTCGATCATGACGACTTACATCAGCGTGCTGCAACCTCGGCATGCGGCCGAATCATGCCATTCACATCGAATTTCATCGAACGTCAGAAAAACGAAGACGTCAAATGATGTACACCTCGAGACGAAATTGTCAAGTAGGTTCTAGACCCATCACATATTAGCCGAAAGAAGAAGGTGCATCCTCGCTACTTTTTGTTCGGAATTAATGACCCAGCCATTCCGATTCCGATGAGGCGGGCACCTGGAATTTCGCACACGGCCTGGGGAGCACTTTCAACCTCCAAGCCCTGTCGCACGTAATGACTCAATGGCGTTCCCCATAATGGAAAAGCGTTCTCCACCAAAGCCTGAATCTCTAAACCGGTCAAAAGTAATTGAATGGTTCATTCTACCCGCATGATGGCAACAAACCTTTCCCCACCAACGCTTTTCACACCGTCGGATCTCAAATCGAACCCAACCCTATCGAAATCCATCACCCAACTCGTCAACGACGCGTTCTATCGTTCGTATGAACGAGATACGGCGAAATGGGATAATTCGGAATCGCGCTTCAGCGATGAAGAGGGGCTTCATACGCTGCTGAGTGAGACGGGCAGCGTTATCGCATTGATCTTTGACGATGCGGCGAGCGCGAACGAGAACGGTACCATCGATGGCGGAAACGGTAGCATCAGTGGCGAAGGGAGCAGCAGCGACGGCAAAGAGAGTAGAAAGGTCGTCGCATGCGCCTCCCTCGTACCCTGGAAAGGCGGCTGGGAAAAAGAATACGCCTCCACAGAAACAGGCTGGGAAATTAAAATCGTATGTGTCGACGGAGATGCAAAGTACCACCACCGTGGTCTTGCTATCCAGCTGCTCAACTTCCTACAGCAGTATCTCATCGTGAGAGACACCATTCAGCTCGAACAAAAGGGACTGAAGGGCCAACGCGTGTTGAGCCTTTGGATCCTGGCCGCGGAGTGTCTCAACGGTGTGTATTGGCGTAAGAGAGGGTATGAGGTGGTAAGGAAGAAGACGTGGGGACCGGGGACTTGGAGTTGCAAGACGAGTTTTGAGATGGTGGTTTTGAGGCGGGATGTTACGTTTGGTTTTGGTGGTGGGTCGGTAGTGGGGAAATGAAAGAACAGAATGGAGTGGGGTATAGCGGCATAATGGCTTCTATGGCCCCTAGCGTAATCGAGGACTCTCTTCCCAGTCTGGCTTTGGAGACGAAGACGCCATGCTCATGTTGAATGTCAGGCCGGTTGTCGCGTAGAACTCTCGCAGTCCCGCCCCACGCAGATCAGGCAAATAACAGCGTCGTGTCTTGCTGCTCAGGGTCTTGAATTCGTTTGGTTGCTCCTTGAACACGAGCTCGATCTGTAGATCTGTCCAGTCTGACCATGGGTGAAGTAGAACCTCATCGAGCTTCCTCTCCATGCACTGCGTCCAAGGCTCATTACTGAAGACCATCAACTGCGCGAGGTCATGGCAGGCTGTAGCGACGCGCTCGTCAGTCAGTGTGTCCTCGCTGTTATACTTCTCTTTCACAGCATTCCAGTCGACCTTCGGATCTAGTATGAACAAGCAGATGAAGTCTTTACGCAGGAGTCGCAGTTGCAGTAGCGGAAGGAGGTTGAGCGACGGATGTAGTACTCGGCGCGGTCGGCGCACCTGGACAATGCCTTGCCATACGGCCTCCATTTCAGCAGCAATCTCATCAGCGGTCGAGGACCCACATCCGAATTTCGGCTTTTGAATGGGAGGCTCATTGCAGATGTGTTCGTCAATGTATACGGTGATCGACTTCGGCGTGCGGGTGGACAGCCACGTGTGACAGAAGTACTCAACGTCCAGCCAGTCCAAACCGACTTCTAACGTAGCAAAGAGGTGTGAGAGGAACTCTTTACGCAGCTTTTGACACACGTATGCGAGTGAGAAGATTGAAGCGGGAGTAGATCTTGCACCGAGCGAAGATGATTTAATTTTAAGAGCGAAACGCCGGACGCAGCCCTCGTATTCAGCAGTCAAGAACTCATAGACGGAATTGCGAAGTTCTGCAATGACGTCAGTGTTGTTGCGACAGGCTTTACGAACGAATGAACTCACCTGCAGGCAGGTCGAGGAAGCGGAAGGGCTCGGGGAGTGAGCGTCGCGTTCTCATGTTGACCTGTGAGAAGGTTGTAAAGATTGATCGAAGATTTTTAGTAGGGTTCGGTAATTATCTAGCAGATGCGTTGATGGGGTTAGAGAGAAGGAGAGTCGGCAAGTTGGGGGCAGTCATCAGCGTGATGGTCCGTGGTGCGAGCAAACGACATCGGAGGCCGCGTTGCGCGTGCACTCGATCAAATGAAAGGTCTAAACACCTACCAAATAGAATGGTGCTGGATAGACTAGAGGGTTGAATTGCTATGGAATTATTTTAACTTCTAATGTTACACTGCCTAAGTAGCGGGTGATGCAGCGCAACTGTCACCGTGACTGTTTCTTTCCTTGTCCGACGTGTAGGCGTAGTTGAACTAGACAAAGATTTTGGACAAACCAATGCTAGTACACCTTGATATATCTTGGAGCAGACGACCCTGACATCTGCATAGCAGCAACCATGATGGTGTGCATTCTTGCACTCCTAACTGATACCAAACCGACTCAGTGAACTCTCATGTCGAAGCCTCTGATCACTCAAACTTTATTTCAGGAAACCTCTCAAATTCTCCCCAAAACGCATCGGCACCGATACTTTCGAAGTAGAACTCCTCGAACAGAGTTTCTTCGTAGCTCTTATAATGCGTTTCGAAGTCGGACAACGATCGTTTCAGATAGAACGTTGCCTGCGGCGGATCGCTAACGCCGATATTGAAAGCGATGAGCTTGGTAATAACACCAGTTTCGATATCGGACAGCCACTTTGGGTTACGACTGCCCATCATCCCTTCTAGAGCCTCGGTGTCATCCTTGATGTAGCCTCTGAAGTTACGTCCATCACTATGTGGATTTGTATCTGCCTCTTTCTCGGCACGTTCCAGGATTTTCGTGTCGTGGATGAAGTGACAGGCGAAGTTTGGTCTACAGAGGCCAAATTTGACCAACGGTAGTAAGTCAAGCTCACCACCCGTGTCCTCCGTTTTGCCGCGCCATGGAGTGACTATGGTCATGTTCGCCGGTGCAAGCTCAACATTCTCGATCTTGCCGTCGACGGTGGGGAAGAAGGTGCGCATGTAACCGGCAACCGCCTTCCAATCGATTACGATGTCTCGCTTCAGGCAGATAGATCGATACTCGGTACGAAGCTGTTGACAGCTCTGCGCAAGCGCGAGACACGGCAGTACGCAGCGAGGTTGGTCGGCTTCGGTCTCAGCAGCGAAGTCATAGATACGATTGCGCAACTCTATTACACACATGTCAGCCCTGAGATCTTGCCTGGAGAGGGTCGCGCCTACCTGCTGGTAGATCTAGGAAACGAAAGTGGTCTCCGCGGTCGCTCCTGCTGACGGTGTCGGCGGCCATTTTGGGAGGGGACTGAAGTAGTGCCGGGGTTGTATGGCGAGAAGCGTGGTAGAGGGTTGATGCAGTGGATTAGATATGAAGGTACAACGAAGGAGTGGCCCTTGTTCGCGTTGCGCGAACTAGGTAGTCGCCTCGTGCGATCCACAGCCACGTGCCCCCACGTGATTAAGAGTGAAATCCGCCCAAATACATGATTTGCGAAGCAACCTTGGAAGCTGCAAGCTACGTGATTCGTATGTTTTAGAAATTATCTATACAGCTGCCTAAAAACTGTACAGATCTTTGAAGATAGTGTTACAATGTCAGACAGCAAGCTAGCGTGAGATATCGACGCCCAATCTGATCACTTGATGACTCTATCCTTTCTCTCCATCTTCCGCCAGGCTCGAATTGTTGGAATTGCGCACATCTATACCCTCAAACGCAACGCCAATATAAACGCTAAACCAATTTTCAATACTTGTCATATTGTAGAGCCGTCTCATCTGAGCCGTGAAAGCTTGCCCTTCCCGGTCAAATGTCATGTCCACACCATGGGGTACATGCCCCGGCTTGTACCACAAGTAAAATCTACTATTGTGATGACAGCAGAACTCAGAGATTATGGATGCTTGGACGTCGTGTCTCAATGCAGGCGACGTATTTTCCAGGATGTGCGTTATGAGCTCACAGTTAAACTGAGAGTAGGGTTGCTCTTCGATATCTGCAGGACCGGGGATGACGGTGACCTCGGTTTGCGGGTATGCCATCTTGAGTTCCACGAGAGGCAGTATGTCCACATTCATGGAAGGCGGATAGAGATAAATGACGCGTGAGGGGCGTTGCCCGTCGAGTACCCGCTGGTTCGTATGGCCCGACGCAAAGAACGCGTTCGTGAACCTCTTGATGTCTTTGTCTCTGACTGTGAAGGAAACGTTTTGCATGTAGATCTTCCTGAACTCATCTCGAATTTGTCGGCAGACCTGTGTGAGACTGATGGTGGGTGGGTTGCCAGGCTTGAGCATGATGTTGCGCGGCGGTGCCTCGGCAGCGTACTCATAGATGCGGTTCCGAAGTTCTGAGGTGTGAAGTTAGTGAACCTACTTCATTAGATGAAGAAGCGCTAATGATCTACCTGCAGCGAGGTCTAAGAAGCGGAAGTGGTGTTCGTTAGTCGACCCGGAGGTGATTGGAGCATCGTGGAATTGCATGGCTGCAAGCGCGTCGTCAACAGCGCTGGTATAGCACACGATAACCTGATCCATGAACTTGCGAATGTGTTGCTATCACATATCCGAGACCTTCATCGACGTGGATCGTGTAGGAGTCGGCGAGCCTACCGGCGTGCCTGGAGCTTTCGTGTTCAATCAGGCAACCAATCCCGCGCTAACCCAAAACGTCCATTGCCCGCGGCCCCACCTGCCACGCGTGCACCTCAGACGAGACCTTGGAAAGTAGAATTGAATATGTGCACCGTAGGCTACATTAATCTACAGACCAGAATCAACAAAGCCGAAGCGATGTCGACTTCCTGGCTACGTTCTACTTCTTTCTTCCCGTGCAGAGAGGCCTCATTTCTCACCTCCACCCCATACAAGAAAAAGCCTGAACAGGTCTGCATACTACATCAAACCAAAACTCCGCAAAGTAGGTGATCTAACGTCAATGTAGACTCCAGGGCGTTCAGTTTATCCCTAGGTTGGCGTGCCTCCATCAAATTGGTGGAGGGCCTATCATACCATTATCTCGTCCCATAGGCCGTCAAGACCGGTAGTACCCGTCGTTGAGGCGAGCTGCTCGCTCAACTTGACATTAACATCCACGGCTTCTTCCGGATATTGCATAGTGATGGCTACACTCTTCACCTCGTACTCCTGTACAGCAACGCGCCACTTCCGCTTCGCTTCCTTGACTAGCGCAGTGTCTTCAGTTCCGAGACGTGTACAACCACCATACTGTACCAGCTTGGTGATGGAGACTCCGGCGGGAGCACAATCCTCCAAATGGATAATGCGTACTTCCAATCCCTTGAAGGCCAAGCCCAATCGCACTAGATGGATGATCTCCGTTGGTCGGTCGAGCGTGCAGTCGAAAGCCGTCTCGTACTGAATGATGAGCTTCTTGGGACCGCTTCCATACTCTTCTTCGTTCGGGTAGAAGCTCTCGAGGAATGCGTGGACAGAGTGCCAATCGATGACGAACTTGGCGCGTTCAAGCCACATTGGTCGGTACTCGGAACGTACCTAACACGTGGATATGCTAGATCAGTACATGTCTCGTATCCATATCACATAATAAGTTACTTGGCGGGAGACTTGTGTCAACGCGATGCCTGCGGCGCCGTGATCACGAGGTCCATGGACTGGTGTGAGTAGCTGAGAGGGTACTTCTGCGACAGCGTACTCATAGATTTGATTGCGGAGCTCTGGATGGATGTTAGTCTTCCGCTTTGCGACTTTTCGATATACATGTACTAACCTGCTGAGAGACGCATAAAGTCGAAAATACCTGTTGGAGTATACGCGACCTTCTTCGCTCGCGGAAGGCGACTGCTGGACAGGACGTCGTCGTCACGGCGTCGCTTCAGGCGAAGCATCGAGAGCTCGGGTGTGTAGCGATCCATAGTGACGTTGTGGACGCTGCACGGGTGGTGTTGTTGTTGTTTTTGTACGGATGCGAAATACGTGCCGTAAACATGCCTAGGGTCTCGCGTTTGCGGTGACGTCATCTACCTTGGTAGCCTACAAACGCGTTTACATTCACCGTTCGCATTCACCTGAGATAGAAATAACTAAATGACCTCAACGTCGTGTATGAGAGGCCGGATCTTCGCTTAACCATGCACCTGCATCTTCGCTCGATTGGGGACAGCGCTTACTCTAGCCCCACCGCTGCGTCTCATGCCGGTGTGACATCCATCAGGAATACGAACTACGAAGAGTCACAGCTCTGGCTCAGCTTGATGTGTACGATCTGTCGCCTAAACTGACCAAGGATGACTTCAAAAGTCCCCTCCATGAACCCCTCAATGCTAGATACCGTCGATCCCAATCATTCGTCGCCAAGAAGCACTCACAACCAACTACTACACATCTTTAGCAAGATGAAGAAGCGCCGTAATGCACCCAAGATCGCACCGACATCAAGCGATCCAGTGCCCATCATCTCACCACTTCTACTATTACCCGCTGGTATGTCCCCCCAACAACACACACATCCCCTACCTAACACCCCGCAGAACTCCGCAACCAAATCTACAAATACGTGCTACTATCCCAACACCGCCCCATCGAACTCTTCAAATCACCCGTCCTCTACAGCTCATGGAGCCACAGCACATCCGCGTGGTTCCGCATGGTAAAACCCAGCCAAGTATGCCGGCAAATGCGCAGAGAATACCGTCCCTTAGCTCTCCGCCAACAAGAGCTCACCATCAGCATCAAACCCTGGCTCCGCTACGTTGACTTCGTATACGGGTCTTTTCGGCCTGTAGAACATGTGCCTAGACGCATTGATCTGGTTATCGAAGATCCGTTGGTAGAGCATCTGAAGGTGGATGTACTGCCTTTGCTGCGGATTCGGCATTGTAGTTACCCCGTTGGAAGAGCGTCGATATCGTTTAGACCCTGTCATAGCTATCTAAAGCAGCCGACGATGATGAAGGTGCAGCTGGATTCTATATTGGGCTTTGACGACGCACGTTGGGTGACTTGTATTGGCGGTGGAGATGTCGCGGAAGTTGTGATTCATGCTGGAAGAGGGAGCCTTGACTACGGCGTGACTATAGTGAGGGTTGTGGTCGTGTTTAAGAGTGGAAAGGTACCTGGTCGGCTTACGAGCGAGGTTATCGTGCCGGAAGTGATGGTTCGCGATCAGGGGTTTGTTGATAAGTTTGCAGAGAGTGTGGGCTGGACGAAGAAAAAGGGACTGGATGTTCATGCTTCGATAGAGGGGCATTGTAAGAATGTTTGGCCACTTCGGGCGACGAAGTATTTGTCGAGATGGACGTAAAATCGGGAGTGTAGATGAATATTGTAAAGTGCCATCTATCTGAAAAGGTTGTGGCATCGAGTGCGTCTACTTCCGTGTTGACACACCCAACCTGATGACCACCCGGGACGACATGAAACAGCCGTTTTCATAATGAAAGATGAACTATTGAGTGATAGTCCAGAGCACCATGCCATAGATTCCAAAGACGTCACCAGGCTGCCTCGGCGCATGTCTCAGCTACCAACCGCAGCTAGCATGTGAGTATCATGCATCCCTTTTCCTCTCTGCATACTACTCACTATCGCCAAACCCAACTTTTAGTCTTATCGTCATCATCGCTGAACCAAAACTTGTGCCGATACCCATATGAACGCTCCTGCGGGTTCGGGTCAGGCCATGAGAGCCTCAGTTCACGTATGCCACGCGTGGGCTGAGCTACTTCGTTCCACATCTCATGAACCGCAGTCTTCCACTTTTTAGCCATGTCTTGCTCCATGGTGATTCGGAGTGCAGAGTCGGAAAAGTGAACCCTCAGTCTCATCTCTTTGATCGACTTGGCCATGTCGTGCCACTTCGAGCTGGACGAATCAGCGAATAACGAGAGCATACTGTTGACCTGTGCGATGCTTTTTGCCGCCGAGGAATATCTTTTCAGATCCTTCTGAAGTTCGAAAGTAAAGCGAACCTTTGGTGAGCGCGCGACAAGCGAGACTACGCGCGCGATGTCTGCATCGTAGAACTCGTCCACATTGATATCCTCATCGCGGCCATGTCCAACTACGCTGATGATGTGCCCACGGTAGCGCAGCATCGTGGCCTCATCGCTAGGCGGATAGAAATCGCGGATGTATCGGGCGTAGTGGTAAGTGGATCCTAGGCGGAACGCAGTTTCAGTCATGTAGATGATGTGGAACTCTTTCCGGATCTGCCGACACGTTTGTGTAAAGCAGCGCCATCCTCCTACCGGTTTGATCGGGTCATCGTGACGGAGACGCAGTGGGACGGGGTCTGTATCGATGCAGAAGCTGTATATCTTATTGCGTAGTTCTATGGGTACAGTGTTAGCTAGGTTCTGGGTAGTTGGGAGGACGTACGCACCACCGGGAAGGTTCAAAAAGCGACTGTTTGATGCGCTCATTGTGAAACCCCGCATCTGCGCTTCTACGGAGGCCATGAGCGGATACTCCTCGTCGATTTTTGAGTTGCTGCTGTCAAAGTCAGTCTCGCATGGCTGAGTATGAGGGGCAACATACAGGTGTAGGTGATCCATCTACGAGCTTGTGTTGTCTGTGAGAAGAGTCTGTGGTGAAGTGAGAATAGAGGGAAGCGCCTGACCAGGTGAACCATGGTACGGCTGCCAAGCAATGATGTAGCGCGTGTTATCGGGTACCTGCATGTACTGTGGGGTCCACGGGTGCGGGGCTTCACCTTCACGTGAGATACGTAATCAACGAGCAAACGCGCTTGGCTGTTTGAGAACTGGTACGTTCTTCTACGAAATTGGTTCCTACGAAATTGGTTCCTTCGAAATTATGGAACCTCGCAGAAAACACGACCCAGCATATCAAACTATTGGCGACCCAAACATCGTTGAATGTCAACACGAAAGGGCTATTCGCAAGATAGGTTCTCACTCAAGCCCGCGGTTCTGAGCGCTCGTACAGCCTACCAGTGCCATCCCTGAAAACGACAGCAAACGCGTCCATAGGCGGTGCACCCATCTCATTCAATGCCTGCCGCGGGTCACCAACATGTGCCATAAGATCATCTGCCACCGAGTATGGGAGAAAGAGGGTGATTTCAGGCTGAGTGCTGCACGTGATCGCAATCCTTTGGATACGCTTCATGTGCGGACGAAAAGCGCCGGACGAGATAGTAGCGAAGAAGTCGTTGACGAGGCAGCCGAGACGGAGGCACGCGCTGGCGTCTGTGAAGCTGATTTTGAAATCGGGATTCTTTACGCAAAGATGTATGAGTGGTGTCGCGTCGTATTCGTGGCCGAAGTACGTGATGATTTGGATGTTGCCTTGTGGGCTAGAGACGCTAGTCGACGCATGATGCTTGTCAGTCTGGCAGCCTGACTGGAGTTGCTCGCTCGCAAGATCATTCTGTTGCCTCAATTCGGGATACAACGAGTAGAGAAATGTATTCGCAGTGACTTGATGGACAACATGGACGGTTTCGGCCATGTACATTGGCCCGAATTCTGCACGCGTTTGCTTGCACACGTTGCGAAGGCTGCCGTACAGTCCGTAGCGAGTATTTCTGTAATGCTTCCTTGGACGCTTAGGCATGCGAAGAAGTTGCCGAGGTTTTGGTTCGACGCAGTATTCGTAGATGCGGTTGCGAATCTCGCCAGGCAGAGATAGAAACGTTAACGTGGACATTTTGATGACGTTCAAATGAGCGAACAAATTTGGCCTCGACGGCAAAATCGAAAGACGATTACTGCGTTTAGTTCACAGTTTATCTGGGTAGGAGGTAAGGTTGCAGAGAGAGAAGGCAAACACAAATAGTCGACAAGAAGGAGCACAGAGACGCTAGTGTCCATTCGGCTAGCACGGATCTAGCGCTGGGTGCCTCCCGAGGTCATCTGGGCGCTCCAGGATGCAGCCATGCATACCAATCCTCCGGCTTGCAGCAATTCGTCCGGACGTCCAGTATACGAACATCAGCCAAGCCAGCATTCTCGAGAAAATTCATCGCTTCGAGGCTCGCCGAGTGAATGATAGTGCTGCGCTTGGAACACCATGGAGGGTCTGCCGTAAGCCAGAGATCGAGAAATGGCGTTGAGACTACTGGATAAGGGCCCCCATTGAATCTGGGGTGTTGCACACCCAGATTTTTGAGATAAAGGATTGCGGCCTCCACATTATTGTTTTCGGGTTGGACCGTTGCTAATGTCTTTGGCCCACTGAGAATATTGTTCAGGTCCTGTACAAGCAACTCACCGTATGCTTCCGATACAAGCTGGCTGCAGGGTTGACCAGGGTCGGTTGGAACGTGAGTGGTGTCAACCTCTGTGGAGAAATCGAACTCGCATATGAAGGATGGTTTCTTGGAGCGTATCTGCAGCAGTGGGAGGATATCCAGATAGTGTTCGTTTCGATCATTGACTCCGGGGCCAAGATCAAGAATGACATTGGCAAAGATCGGGCATACAGAGGTCTCGACGCCCCCCTCCACTAGACTGTATGCCTGGATGACCATTGCGAGGTATTCGTAGATGTGTTGTGCGTCCACCCGGAGTTGAAGTTGTTCGCGGTACAAAGCTCCAAACTCGCTTCGAAGCGTCCTCGAGACCTGAGTAAGGCCTAAGAATTGATGACGGGTGCGATCGATCCGTAGGCTAGGGTGGCTGTCTTGGGGACGTTTCATGTTCACGATGCCTTCGTTCTTGCAGAACAAGTAGACATTGTTCCGTAGCTCTTGAGTCAAATTAGCGCGAATTGTTAGAGCAAGAAGTTGAATGTTGCTCACCGCCAGGCAAGTCCATGAAGCTGTTGCTTTGGCGAGAAGTAGTCATAGAAGCCATGTCCTTGTCGGTCGTCCTGCTTGCTGAACACTGTAGTGGAGCTGCTTCTTGTTACGGCTTTCGAGTTGATAATCAGGTGGTAGAGCTGCTGGTTACTGTGCTGAGCCCGGCCTGCAGTTATACTCGTGGAAGGAGTAGTTTGTCAATGCTTGACAAACTGCCAGAGCGCTTCCTTCCCTCTCTAAAACACTCGTTAGGCTCGACTAAGCCTTTCCTCGACGACCTGATCTATGATCCCGACTTGTGCACAGGCGGACAAATACGGGAAGGCGAAAGGATAGAAAGGGCACAGTTAACGGAGTGATATTGGGCAGAGACCCAGACGTGATATACTAGGTAGCTGCTACCAAGCCTTGCTACATTGCCTTGCCTTCAGGCGTGCTGTTCCACGCATGTTCGAATTGTTGCCATCCGCCATGGGGTTCCTCGCACATCTTGAGATCGCTAATGACGAAGTCGTAATACCCTTCAGCAGGCAGCTTTCCCTGGTTTACGGTCCCGCCCATGGCGATGTTGATGAGAATCCTGAAGTCTTCCATGCGGCGTGTGCCCTCTGGAATACAACCCTTCATGACTGGGTAGTTGTCGATGTACCAGATCATGCGCCCTCTCCACCCAGGTATGCCCTCTTCTTCGATCCAAGCGAAGCCATAGGTATGCGGTTGCCGTGCCAGGTCTGGAAGGGAGGTCTTGACGACGCGATGCTTCTGTGCATCCTCGCCGGTGTAGGAGCCCCAATGTAGACACGAGTGGTTCTCCGTCTCGCCGTTCCAGCTCTCAGCAAGGTCGACCTCGCCGTCAGTCGGCCATTTGAACGGGTCTGCGGGCAGCATCCAGTATGCAGGCCATATGCCTGGTGCAGACGGAGGCAGACAGGTCGCTGTCAAGTATCCGCGCGGTCGCGATAGCGTCTGGTGTGAGGTCAAACGCGCAGAGGTATAGCTACCGTTCTGTACGAGCGCGCG